GTCCGAGAGCCCAACAGCGGCCCAACAATCCTCCTCCCTCCGCCTCCTCCGCCTCCTCCGCCTCCTCCTCCTCCGCCTCCGCCTCCTCCGCCTCCTCCTCCTCCGCGTCCTCCTCCGCCTCCTTCTCCTCCTCCTCCTGCGGGTACCAATCGGAGCAAGCATCAACTTTGCCCCGACACAGCCCCAATACGGCTCCACTGGGTGTGACCCAAGACTGGCCCAAGGCAGCCCCCAAGAGGCCGCACGGGGCCCCTATGAAGCCCCCGAGAGGCCCCCAGCAGGAGCCCCCCCGAAGCTTCCCAGGGACCCCGAGGAGCCCTCCGGGATGCGGCAGCCCACGATGCGACATCCCACGAAGGGGCTGGAAATAACAAACATTTGTTTTCAACTAAGTACTCTTGCCTTATTGTGTTTTCGGACTTCGAAAGCGAAACTTTGATGGGTGTGTGTTCCGTTGAATGCTGCCGTCAAGGTGACAAGCACCTGCCTTTCCCCCGCAGGATCTTCGTAGGACAGTTTGGGGAAGTACCACTGCACAGAAGCTTCCCAATCCCCACGAACACAACGGCAAACTTCAACGACCATACTGGACCAGCGGAAGAAGCCCAGCAGCGGACGAATGTTGCAACGACCTCTTCGATTTGTGGGCAAATCAAGCACAGAAGACACAGCGCTCGAGTATTACCCAGCAACACCGCCCTGGCTGCAGGCGAGGCTTGCAATGTCGGGCGGGGTGAGGCTGAGCACGAGGAGTCCGGAGGTGCGGGAATTGTGTAATAATCGAACACGTCATGAACATACACTTTCGGATGCCCCAGGGGGTGGGATGGGGTCTGTGCCGACCCAAGAGTCCGCGCGGACCTCCAAACATTTATGTTCATGCAGTTTTCGTCTACGAGGGGAGATGCTGAACACAAGGAGGTGCAGGACGAGGAGGACAAACATGATGATGTTGTTGTTGATGATGTTGATGATGTTGATGTTGATGTTGATGTTGACGATGATGATGTTGATGTTGATGTTGATGTTGATGTTGATGATGATGATGATGATGATGATGATGATGATGATGATGATGATGATGATGATGATGCAGTGGCGGACGCGGCGCCGTCTGGCTTCCGCTGGCATCTTGGGCCCCCCCATGGCGAGCATGGGCGGAACGGCGCGAGCGGTCGACCCCTCTCAAAGGCAGCCTGGCCACAGAGCTGGCCGCGCCAAAGACGGATACGCTGCGCGGGCGTGGCGGCGACTCTCTGGTCGTACAGGCCTCGCGCGAAGCTTCATCATCGGGAAAACGCTAGCCTGGGTCAGCGCTACCCCAGACCAGCCACGGCCCTGTCGCGAGCCCACTCCTGCCGCTGAGTCACTCCCACACCCGGGTCCACGGAAGGCGGGAAGGCGGGAAGGGCGTGTGGGCTCCAGAAGGCTCATAAGCCCGGGCCAGCCAGAGGGGATTGGCTGACCCCTCTTCGCGCTGACCCCCGTGACGTGCGCCCCGACATCACAATCCTCCGCCCCCGCCGAGCTCGAGCAGGCCGCGAATACTGGGGGCACGGAGCGCGCCGCCTACCTCTCTGAAAGGAGCAAAGCCCAACGCGTCTGAAACTTATCAAGCCGTTTCCCGTGCAATGTTTCCCAGCCCTCTCCCGATCATTCTCCCCAGGCAAGCTGCAACGATTCTGCCCTGATAGAATCAAACATCCTTCACCTACTGCGGAAAATGAGCATCTATCAGCGCAGACTCCAGTACAGACTGAACATGATAGGGGAAATGTGTGTGTACACTGGGGCATGTATGGAATGAAGAGGGGGAGGACATGCGGAGGAGGAGGAGGAGGAGGAGGAGGAGGAGGAGGAGGACAAATGTAAACCCAAAATCACCAATGATAATGCAATGAACCCTCCCGCCAAATTCCGTGTTCATGGGTTTCTACAAAGAATTATGTTCACCGAAAGATGTGCCCCATTGGATGGCAACCGCTTGAGAATCCTGATCCGTGCCAACACATCATTCCTGGGAGTAGAATGCCGTGTTACCGTTGCGTCCTTACGATCCTGAATCGCGCATGAACGCCATTCATGGAACTTCAACACCGCGGATCAGCGCGATTGTTGCGCCCTGACACATCTACGTCGTGCAAAAAACAACATGTCTGGGACGTCAACCATAAGAACCCTTGAACATGTTGTGAACCCGTACGACGAATATGCGCGGCGCTAAGGCGACAACCACATTTTGAAAAGGAGCCGCCTTCCAACCGTGAACCGCCTGCAAGTTTCTGAAACGAACGTGCGGACGCTGGAGCGAGAACCGCATTTTGAAAACAGCCCGCTCTCCATTCGCGAAACTTTCGTGCACTCTTCAGACGAATGTGCGCTGAAGCGAGAACCGCATTTTGAAAACGGCCCGCCCTCCATCCGTGAAGCTCTTGCAAACTTTTAAAACTAATGTGCGCGGCACTGAAGCGAGATCCCCATTTTGAAAACGGCCCACCCTCCATGTGTGAAGTTCTTGCGAACTTTTCAGACCAATGTGCAAGGCTCTAATTGGAACACCACATTTTGAAAACACCCCCCTTCCATCCGTGAAGCTTTTGCAAATGTTAAGCTTCAAAGTCATACGTGGTGAGGAAATCCGACAAAACGCCCGGCCCGCCCTACCGACACGTCTCGGGATGCAACAGGGAGGAGTTATTTACCAGGAAAAGGAATGGAGGAACCGTGCCTCTGCCCTGGTCTAGGAGGCGAGCAAGCAAGCTTGCAAGCAGCCTTGCGAGCAACAAGCAAGCTTGTAAGTAAACCAGTAAGCAAAATGGATCGGGCCGTCACTTGGCGAGTCACCAATTAACACTTTCTGAACTCGACCAAATCAATCAGGCCTGAGCTACACCCGATGGGTCGACTGGGTCATCTATTTGCCCATAAGGGCGAGCGACTTCGTGCCACCAACTGGGTCATCAACGCGTCCTGGTGGGGCTTCGCTCAGGAGCCTGGGCTCAAGCAAGCTGAGCTAAAGCAGCCTGGGGAAGACGAGAGTCAACCTGTCAACTGGATGGTCAGTCTGCCCCAACTGGGCAAATCTACACTGGGTTCAAGTATCTGGGGGAAGGGCCCAACCATATGCAGATGTGAGCACCACAATTCTGAAGATCGTCTTCGGTAGAATTTCCTATGGGGCCACGAAAAATATGAGGGATGCGCCAGTATTCACGGGGAACCGCATGCGAACCCACCCACTGGGACCTTCGGTGGAGTTTCCTGTGGGGCCACGAAACATGTGAGGGTGCGCCGGAATTGACGGGGAGCCGCATGCGAACCCTGCCACTGGGGCCTAAGGTGGAGCTCCCTGAAAGGTGTGCCGAAATAGGCGGGAAATCTCATGCTAGGACGGCCGCTGGGGCCTTCGGTGGAGCTCTCTATAGGGCCACGAAACCCGTGAGTGGTATGCCGAAGTGGGCGGGGTGCCGCATGCGAACCATGCCACTGGGGTCTTAGGTGGAGCTCCGTATGGGGCCACGAAGCGTGTGAGTGGTGTGCCGAAATGTGCGGGGAACTGCATGCGGGAACGGCCAGTGGGGCGTTCGGTGGAGCTCCCTGTGAGGCCACGGAACGTGTGAGGGGTGTGCCGAAATGGGCGGGGAACGGGGTCACGAAGCGTGTGAGGTGTGTGTGTGTGTGTGTGTGTGTGCCGAAATGGGCTGGGAATCGCATGCGAACCCCGACACTGGGGCCTTCGGCGGAGCTTCCTATGGGGCCACAGACAATGTGAGGGGGTGTATCGGGAGGAGGGGGGGGGGCAGCGGGAGGGAAGGAAGGACGGAGACGCGGGGCGCTGCCTCTTCACAAGGAGGACCCAGCCCCGCAAGATGGTTGGGGAAGAACGGTTACGGGCGTCCGCATGGAACATTAGTGAGTGTTTTCTTATTCGGCGTTTCGACATTGGGCGGAAGGGGGCGAGAGGGGGGTCTGGCTCCGGACCTCTGCTTAGTGCGGCTGATTGCAACAGTGCGTCCCATGGGGGAGACGCCACCTGCTCGGAACAGGTGCCAAAAACAGCCAAGATCTACTCCATGGGGGGACGGATGGGGTGGGGGCGAGGGCCCGCGCCGATCGGCAAAACAATGAATGAGAAACCGATCACTTACCGGTTTGCCCCTGGTTGGGTCAACCAGGCTGGTTTGGTCTGACCTGCGCTCCACCAGCCGACCTGGTCACGCATTCCTTCGGTTAGGTCTGGCGGCTCAGCGTGGCCGGCTGGGTCACTGATTCGCCTCAGATGGGGCTCCGTGGAGGCACCTGGGCCACTGCGAGCCAGGCTGGAGCAATCTGGAGAACACTAATATTAGGTCGGACATGTCCTCCTACAGGCGGGTTATGGCCGAAAAACACAAAGTAGTCAAAACATACTTAAATATTGCAGACAAGTGATCGAAAAATCGTCCCTGTAGTATTTTGTGACCATTTTTGAAATATTCCTGCTGTAAAAGGACATGCCCGACTTGACACTAATACACCACCAACCCACTGGGTCACCAGTTCGCCCCGGCCGGGCCGAGATACGCTGAGTTGCCAGCAAGCTTGCAGTTGACCCAATCTGGCAGGCTTGCAAGCAAGCGTGCCAGCAGGTGCACTGTCCGAGCAGTTGCGGCTGAGAGATACAGCCATCCCTCCGTGCTGTCAGAAAGCCAGAGAACTCCTCTAGGCAGGCCTACAACGGAACACCATGCAAGTCTCCATGCTGTAAAGCGCGTGTCGGATATGGTCACGCACACGGTAATCATTGATAGGTGTGTGTGTGTGTGTGTGTGTATGTTCCATGAGGGCACGCACACGTCCATCAACGATGATACTGTCTTGTCATTGTGCTGCCCGTGTGCTCCTGATGGTCTGCTCCCGTCAAAAATGTTGCCGGTAAACGGTGCTGGCTACTTCGACTACCCGACAGATGTGAACCCCAAGCAATGACTGGCACAAGCCTGACTTGTTGATCCGCGCGCTCAGGACCCAGAAGATGCAGACCCTGCTGCCTCCATGCTCTCGATGCCTTCCACTAAGAACCTTAGTGGCGATTTCTGACACAGAATCATACCTGCTTGCTGCCCACCAGCAGCAACTCAAGCATGCTGGTATCCTGCTCAATATCACAGCGTGACTGTCTTCCAAACCTCGTATAAAACTGTACACTCATGCATTCTGCAAACGGGACTTGGCCTTGCGCGACCCCGATCATCAAATATGGGAGACTGGCTGTAAGATGACACCCAGACTGTAGATACCCAAACCAGGAAGCTGCTCACGATATCGTCACCCCGACGGAGCTTTCGCTCCATGGTATTTGAGCGCTCTCACTCTGAGGGGCTCTGGCTTGTTTTGCCATGCTGCTTGCACTGCTAGATGTTTTCTCTGCACGCGAGCTTATTGGCAATATTTATTGCAATCCTGTCTCTTGGATTCACCGAGCCCGATGGGCATATGCAACGTCCTGAGGGACAACTGCACAAACGGTAGAGGCCAAGATGGCAAAACATGATATATGCACAGCAGTTGCGTCGTGGACGTCGTAGACTTGCTGACGAGCACAGATTTGTAACATAGTGCCACATGGGAGGGATGCCCAATCATCTCCGAGATCAGGCCCACCTGCTTGCGCTTCTGTTTCGCACACATCTCAATGTCAAATCTAATATTTGGTGGTGGATGCTACCCTGGACCAATGTGGAGAGGAGTGGCTTGCTGATGTAATATCCCAACACGATGTGCCACATACGCTAGGCTTGACTCACACTGATATCGAATTGCATCGGGCTCGACGCGTCGCAACATGGTGACTGCATGCGCATGCAGTACGTGAGGGGACGTGTAGTGACACTGGCGACCAAACGCGCCTCACTACACAGCCGGGGTAACAGTGTATTCAAATTGCCAGGTGATGATGATATATCCTGTTCCCTCTAGCTATTTCCAGCATGACAAGGTGACTGCGTCATTCGGCAGAGCAGTTTCCAATCCGCTTCATGCTCACAGCTCTGTTGCCCCCAAAACCGGACTGGAAACTCCTCCGCCCCACGCCCTACGAGCTCCCGAGCGGGACGCGCCCACGCGCGGAGTAGCGCGGAGTATTTCTTCTCCGAATTACCCCGCGCTGATGCGCTATTATTGGCGAAGGCAGAGCGACAGAAACTTTCGCCACGGTGATGTAGTCTGGGGTCCGAAGGCACAAGCAGTGAGGTGTGCGAGCTGACAGCTTGCACTCTGGTTCGCACCGGCCTCACGTCGAGCTAGCCTCCCGTGCCCGTCGCATGGCATCCAACACCCATCGGCTCACACTCATCACTCACGCCTCGTGCACACGATGGGTGCGCAGCCCTTCCAATCACCCCCGCCCTCTGGCCCAATCCCCCCTGCCCTCTGTCAAGTGTCGGTCTGGAACACGTCTTGGGTCATATCTCGGGTGTCCAGCGGTCGTTCGGGACGATCCCGGCACCCCCAGAACGCCCTCGGCGAGGCGCAGCCGCTGGCAAGCATCCCGAGGCTGGAAAGCCACCGAGAACCGACGAACACGTCCGGGAACACCTCGAGCCTGGAATCCGAAGCTGCCCCCTCGTCGCTCGCCGCCCAGCCTTGGCCCTCCTCCCCTCCCCTCTTCCTCTTAAGGGGGGGGGCGGGGGCGCCCCTCCCCCCCCACGCCCGGCGTGCCGCAGCACCCGACCCCCTTCGCCTGTGAGCTGGGGGTGTCCAAGGCGTACCTTTTCCTGCACATCCGCTTCGGCACCGCCTGTTCCCCGGTGCCCCGCCCGCTCCTGGCCGCCTGAGGCCCCGCCTTCCTGTGCCATGTCTCCCGAATTAAAGCTGTGCGTAGCCCGCCCAGCTTTTAGCGGAAGAGGTTCGCTCTCGCCCCGCAGATCAAAAAAAGCCTGTGAGCTGGGGGTGGCTGGCCCCCTGGTGTGCTCGCCGCCCCCGGGGCCCACCGCGGGCGGAAGGGTGAGCCACAGAGGAAAATCCTCCCGTGGGCGGGGCCTCGCCCCATATGCATGCGCCTCGTGGCCCCGCTGCTGCCCTTCGTGGCCCTCTCGCTGCCCTCCGCGGTCCCGTTGCTGCCCTCAGTGGCCCCGTCCTTGCCCTCTGCGGCCCAATATGCCCTTCGTGGCTCCCGCTGGTTCGCGCCCGTCGTGGCCCGCCCCATATGCATGCCATTCGTGGCCCCGCTGTCGCCCTTTGAGGCCCCCTCGCTGCCCTTCGTGGCCCCGTTGCTACCCTCAGTGGTCCCGTCGTGGCCCTTTTGTCTCGCGATCGGCGCGCGCCGTGAACGCAGGGCCGGTCTCGCTTGCGCGAGGGGTGCGCCGCCCACGGCCAGCTCCTGCCCGCATGGACGTGCACAGGGAGAGCCCTAAGAGGTCTCGGATCTGAGGGTTTTGGGGGATCTCTGTCGTTGCCCTGCTGGGGTGCAAGGAATGCCCCCCGAGGCCCCACGGCTTCGAGGACCTCCCCCGAAAAGCCCCCACGGTGGCCTCCAACAGAGCTCCAACCCCCCAAAGAACCTCGAGGACTGCAGGACATGAGCTCACTGAAACCACAATCTCTCTAAATACGTACACCGTTTTTTTCTAGTGGGAAAATGTTGCTTGTTTCCATGGAGCTTTATGTTTTGCTTTCAGAGGCTCCTGGTGCAGCTGGGGAAGCCGTTCAAACGCGCGCATCGGGGAGGCCACCACGATAGCCTGATCAGGTCTTCAAAATGGAGCCGCGCCTTTTTTTGGGGGAGGGGGTGGCGGGTTGGTGGAGATGGTGTGGCCACCCCAGAGTCAACCACGGCACACCATATCATATCACACAAGGCCTGACCATTCCAGAACGGAACAAATCAGATCACTTTATAATCGACCGTACCATGCTCACGCAGGACCATATCGTGCACGACCAAACTAGACTAAGCTAAACAATCCATAGTATGATAAGGAAGAGGAACCAGTGTGTCCACAGAGGTGGTAGCCTCATCACTTCCCTCTCGCCCCCTCTGCTCGGTACTATCCTTTCCCTCCTTCCTACTCCCCTGCCCCCCCATCCCTCCTCTCGGGTGTGCGTTAACGGGGGGGGGGGAGGGGGGGGGGGCAAGCTAGGTGCGCTCGCGTCATATCTGACGTCCTACCCTTCTTTCCCATCCCTTACCATGGCGCTGATTTTCTCTATCCGCGGACGCGTGTCGTAGCGGACCTGTGGCTCCGCGCGCGCGTGCGTAGTGGGTGGTGGTGCGCGTGCGTGCGTGCGTGCGTGTGTGCGTGGTTGTGATGGTGGTGGTGCTGGTGGTGGTGGTGGTGGGTGGTGGTGGTGGTGGTGGTGCGGCGCGGTGGTGGCGGGCGGATGGGCGCGCGAGAAAGAGGCCCGCGCTGGGGCGAGAACGCCATCCTGAACGACGGAGGCCAAACACCGATCCGAAAATGAGGCCCACGCTGCAGCGGGAGCACGATTCGGAACGATTCGGGAGCAGAAATGAGGCCGGCGCCTCAGCGAGAGCTGCATTTTGAAAAAAAAAACGCAGGCGAAATCCCGTTTCCCGGGAATCCTGTGTGTAAAAAAAATATCCTGGCGAAGGACCCAAACGTATGCAGTTGTGAGTATCGCAATTGTGAGTATCTTCTTCGGTGGCGCTCCCTATGGGGCCACGAACCGCATGAGGGGTGTGCCGAAATGTGGCGGGGTACACAACGCAAAGGAATACGATAGATCTTATTACGAGAGAAAGAACGCGGGTGAGTCAGAGCGCGACGGAAACTGAGTATGAATGGGTCTGCGCGCGAGTGAATATATTTGCATGAATGCGATCATGGAACCGCCTAGTGTAAGTGTCGAGCATGCCTGTCCGAACACACGTGACACTGGGCGTGGCCGCCGCAGGCAGCTTCCGCGGGAACCCCGACGGCAGCGTCCGCACGTCGCGACGCCCATGTCGGCACGCCTCTTGCGAGGATCGCGCCCGCTTTCGGCTCTTCTTTTCCTTCCTCTTTGCCCGCGCACTCCAAAATCCAAGGCTGCGGGCGCAGCGCAGCGCGGAGTCCCCGCGACGCGCGCTGGTCGCCCCGGGCGGGGTCCCAGCGACGCGCGCGGGTCGTCCGCTGCGCGAAGCAGAGAGAGCTGACTAGCTAACTGGCTGGCTGATAGCGGGCAAGTCTCTGACCGCTGGGCAGAGCGACGACGGGCGAACGAGGCGCCGGGCCCCCCGCAGCACGGAGTTCCCGCGACGCGCGCTGGTCGCCCCGAGAGGGTCCCAGCGACGCGCGCGGGTCGTCCGCGGCGCGAGGCCAAACAATTAGTCGGGCAGTCGAGAGAAGGCGCGGCTCGGGGGAGACGCTCCTCAGGTCAGGCCTCGCGGATGAACTCGGTGAAGCCGAGCTCCCTGGCGAGGGCCGTCGCTTCCCTCCTGCACCGCTTCGTGCGCGCCGCAAACTGCTCCAGCTGCTTCCGCAAGCCCTGCGGCGGCCCTGCCAGGAAGAACTCGATGCGCGGCGCCCGCATGAGCAGGAGGTCCTCGTGGCGCGTGGCGCGCGAGAGCAGCACGTAGAGCTCCAGCCACCAGTCGTCGTCCTCCTTCTTGCCGTTCCCTACCTCGTGGCGGCCGCAATCCAGGATCACGCCTGGGCGACGTCGACCGAGGGAGCAGCGCGCCGGGCAGCCGACGGCCCAGGGCGAGAGTCCACAGGACCGAGAGATGGTCTGGCCGCGGACTGCTCGCGCCCCGGAGGTCTGGCCGCCCCCGGAGCGCCGTTCCCCTGCCCCGTCGCCTTCGCGCAAGGTGCGCTCCTGGCACGCCACCGTGGTGATGACCCCTGCCGTGCGAGAAATGCGGGGGGTGTGCCGAAATGGGTGGGGGTGACGCATGCGGGCGGCGGCACTGAGGCCTTCGGTGGAGCTCCCTATGGAGCCACGAAACGTGTGAGGGGTGTGCCGAAATGGGTGTGGGGGACGCATGCGGCCGCGGGCACTGGGGCCTTCGGTGGAGCTCCCTATGGAGCCACGAAACGTGTGAGGGGTGTGCCGAAATGGGTGTGGGTGGACGCATGCGG